AGATAACTATGAGAAAGGATTAATCTCCATAGAATTTTGTGCTACTGATAAACAAATTGCTGGCATCTTCACTAAAGCACTGAGTAGAGAAAACTTTGAGAGGAACAGGTTGGAATTAGGGATGATTAAGATCACCTAATAGGTCCAGCTCAGAATGCACAATGAAAAAAAAAATTGGCTAAGGATTGTGAACTTGTGTAAATATCTAGATTAATTCTTACTCAGCTTCATACTTTAATTAGTATACTCCTGTGACATGTGTTTATATGACTCACTGATCTCTTACAAAATTTTCTCTATTATGGCATTTGAGGCATGTTCAAGAGACTTCTAATTAAAGCTAAAGTATGTTTTCTATACTCTGCACAAATTAGAAAGATTAATATTTCAATCATGAGCAGAAGTTCTCTAATTTTTCAATTCCTAGAAAATTCTATCCGTTAGCATTGAACCAGTTCCGTTTGCCTAGAACTCTAAATCGAAAATTTTTTTTTGCCTAAAATCTAGGGAAGATAAACCGATCATTCAAAATCTGGAATTTCAGGTTGATTAGACCTCTAATTGACCACTGCTAAAAGTTGCCGTTACCTATTAAATGTGTATTTCTCTTTAAATACACATCATTTCTCCTGCCATCTTCATAATTTCAAACCGTCAAAAATTCTTTCTCACCTTCACTTGCCCTCTTCTCCAAAACTCTAATTCCCAAATTCTCTCAAGAAACCAACGATCATGATAAACCCACAAGAAAATCCTGGAACTCCTCCACTACCATCTCCCTCAAAGTCATCCTTAACTACTCCACCCAGTGCATCTCCAAAACCTAGACTAAGAAGGGTGAAAATGTTTGCTCGAAAGACTGTAGCGTCTGGGGCTCTGAGGAAGGCATTAAATGAGAAGTTGAAAGCAAGCCAAGCTCAAAACTCCGACTCCAGCTCTGATTCTGAATCCTATCAATCCGCTACTGAGGGGGAAGGACATGGGTCTTCTGACTCTGAAAAGACTCAAGAATCTCCGTCTAAGGTAGGTTCATCTGTGACTGAAAACCTAGAGACTAGGTTTGTTCTGGTTGGACCCATTAGGGATGTTGAATTGCCTGAGATACGAAGGAGTGGAGGTAAAAAGAATTCTGAAAAAGAAAAAGAGAGAGAGGGTGCGATATGGTAAGAAGAGGGAAGGTAGGGAAGGAGGTAGTGCGTTGCGTATT